ACGAAGAAGTATCGCAAACAATACCATATTTGCCTGACAGAAATAAAAAGAGAAGGAAAAATAAACTGAAAAAAAATATGCTGGAGACTCCCCAATAAATGAACAAGTATGTCGAGGTAAGTTTAAATAGGGGAAGCTATGGAGGAGGACACATCTATTGTTCACAGTCTTGGTCGAACGTGGGGGTGCTTGTTTGGGTCTACATGTACGTTCAAAGGTTAACGAAGTCCGTTACATACCACAAGTATGGCTAAGATGGGTCCTTTATAAATCCACAGACTTCCGTTTATCCAGCATCTGTAAAAAGACAGAAGAAATGCATATTGCAACATAATGTTGCACTTTATTTAGTAAAACTGCTGTCATTTCCTCTTCTTTCTTGATCAGTCCACCAGACAGCTCAATGTTTAACCCGTACTTTCGTTTGATTTGTTTCACTTTCATAGCTAATTTAACATTAAAATAAAAACAATAGCATTGAATTACGGGTCGATTTATTGATCTTAAACAAGATGTACTAGGCCGTTGCTAAGTAAAACGTTTTAGTAATATAACTGTGTCACAACTAGTCATATCACAACTATTTTATGGGTTTTAACTTTGTAACTTTTAGACTTATTCGTAAAAAGGAAAAGAAACGGATTCTCAGCTTATTTTCTCATTTCATTATACATTTAAGTGAAGTTATGTTGGCCGGGCCAAACAATATGACCTTAGTAACTGCTTGGGCGTAGTCGTAGTCGTGGCAAGGTTCTGATGTATCACACCAAATGCAGCACTATGGTAATAAAAGCCCAAAATTTGATGATTTGCTGGGAATGAGAAAGATGTCCGTGACCCTCTAAAACACGACTGCAAAGAGAAGAGGAGTGCAAGTTCCGCACCAGGGCTACTCACTACTTCGCAGGGCTTTAAGAAAGTCTAGATGACTGCTTCGTAAATTAATACCTAGGGACTTTGAAAGCCTAGGGAAAAGAAGAGTCATACCTGGTTTGTTGTATCTCAGCGGTAAAGTTTAATAAGCCACACGTGATGTCCTCATACTGAGCCTTTCCCATATCAAAGGTACTTGGTCTTATAGCTGCTATTAATCCAACTATAACTGCCGGAAATCCTGGGGTTAGAGAGACAGAACAAATAGAGTCTGCTATATTTTCTCATATATTTTTCGCATATTTTGCGAAGGTTACTTCGTTGACTTCAATTCCCTTAAGGGTGAATATACGAAAAGTACATTTCTCTCTTTCTTCTATCGGTAGAATTTGACTAATCTACTAATGTTACTAGTCTACAACTTGATTAGCTGAGCTACTCGCATACTATCAGACATTAGTATAGATCTACTAGCGTTCTATCACGAATGCCTCTTCTCTGATTGGCTACGCTACTTACTATCTATTCTGTGATAGATAGAGAGAAGCGAAGCAGTGTGCCGTTCTCAACAAAATGATGGCCTCTTCTTTGCGTTTTTGAAGTGTCTGTGAAGAAATTTAGAAAAAGTTTTGAACGACTAGCAAATTTTTGATAAAACGATTGGATTATTTGCTCGGGTTGCGCCCTCGTCAACTATCAAGCAGTAGAAATCTGGAGCTCATAATCTAATTGTAAATTAAAACGTAGTGGCTTTAGGTCGTCCGTCAAATAGCGACGTTTTCTCATTTTTGCAAAGTTACGGGAAAATATTTATATACTAATGCATAATGAAACTAAAGTGAGAAGACTAAACTGAAGCGCATTAACAATTTCGTAACTTATAAAAATTGAAAATGTTGAAAAAAAAAAAAAACAAGAAAAAGTAAAGTACCATAAAGAGCATGAAAAAGCACGAGGCAATTGTTGAAATTATAGGCCAGTTAATGCAAACTTACATTTCTCTCTTCCAGTTCATTNAAGAAAAAAAAAAAACTGAAGAGTGCATGTACACAACAGACAATTCCGAACGACAATTCAGTCCACGCGATTTTTCTAAAGCGTAATACGATGTACAAACAACAAAAAAAAGATTGGAAATGGTTAGCTGAAGAAAATTTAAGTTAGAATTCTACTAAAACAATTAGATTATTTGCTCTCGATTTCTACAAGTTGATAGTTGATTCGGCCCTCGGCCTCATTAACTATCACCTCATAGAAATCTCGAGCTCATAATCTAACTGTTAGTTAGAAGATGAATCGAGAAACGATATCATCGAAAGATATGATTGGAATTCTACCTCACCCCATCCTATTGCCAAGTATGCAACGTACTGCCTTTTCACTGAGAAGACTTTAACCAACTTGATGTACAGGTTTATTCCTTCTACAAGCATCCACGTGAACAACGCAGTGTGAAAAAGAAACTGACAGACTGTCACAGCCGAACATATAGCCTGCAAAACCGAACACATAATTGCAAATAATGCAATAGTTAGATGCTATGGGTTCATTTCTTAATTAATACCGTGTAGCTGCCGTGACGTATTTGTGACTACTGGTTTTAGCCAGTCACCATAATGTCATCAGTTATGTCATCGGCCACTTTATATCATCAAGTCACCATTATTTCATTTCGAGTAAAACAATTTCGAGTTTAGCAGAAACATAGCGCTATGGTCCGCGCTACGAAGGTCTACGATATCTGACCGCTATGCACTACGAGGCCAAAATGCAGGACATTGCAAAGTCGTTTTCCCACGCGCTTCGACAGGACGTGGCAGTCGACGTGACATCGTTTGCATATCTTGATGAGTAGGCAATGTTCTCTCAGCTTTTTATCTTTCTTTCTCATATAACCAGGCACAGCTTTGACCAAATGTACCAAAAGTATTGTTCTCGACAATAAATTCTTGCAGGAGTTTGAGCGGTTTCCGAGAGGTTTTGACTGGAAATACGATTGCTACGTGCCTTTAAAGCATCTTTCGACCAAATAAAATGCACATTGCATTTGCAAATTGATGTCTATTTCAATATTTCAGACCCGAAACTTGATGTAATGTTTGTTTTATATAACTACCTGTTTCGATTCCAAATGGAAAGTGAAATATTCACCTTACGTCAGGATTAATCGACAGGATTTTTAAAACGCTCTGCTGCTAAAAAGCCATGTGAACCAGGTCGATAAGATCGTTTGCATAATTTCTTTATAGGGAAATTCTGACAGATAAGAGAAGTCTGCTTCATATATATCAAGAAAAATCATTTCAACGTCTTCTGTTCACAATCGATTAAGCTTAAAATGAGATAAGATTTCCACCGTCTCTAAAGGATGTCCTGGTCGTGAAAAGCTCTTATACGTTCCAGTCATTGACGTCGCCATCCCAAACGAAAATTCCATTTTGTCTTTGGCGACATGACGAGACTGGTGAGAAAGCTTCCTGCGTCCACTGCCGTTCCCCTGACGTGGCCTTCCTGTCCTCGCATCTTATACGTGGGGTCTCTAATGTTACGCACAATTATGCAGAGAACATGTGTGTCACTCAAATATAAAACAACACTACCTGTACTTTGCCATAAAACTAAAACTCCGCAACTCTTTTTTGCACCACTGTAGTTATTCACTATCCTATAACCACGTGTCTTCTTAGAGGGCTTTTCTTGTCTTGTCAGCAGTAGAGCACCAGTTTCTACTTTATTTTCTTCCAAACTCAGTTTAAAAGTTGATCACAAGTGAAAGACGCTATTTGTTTGAAACAGGATTTTTGAACTTTTCTACGTACCACATGATCCCGTCTTGAAGCAAACAAGCTTTTGTCCAAAATATATACGAGATCTCCAAGACCCAGGGACAAGAGGAGATTCTTGTGTATAAACAGCTTCTCTGACGTTTTAAGCCTGTGTAGTGAAATCAAGCCCATGTTAATGTTGTGACTATAGATTCCAACTTGGCATCTGTTTTCTATCTTGCAACTTGTAAGTCGCGTTTCGCAAATTTCCACATCTATGTTATTTTTTATCTCGTTCCATTTTTACTCCGTGGGTGGAGTTGGGGAATGCTCTCGTTTAACTTGTTTGCGGAAACGTGATTGAGAAGTTCCGCAGATAATCCTCATTGATTTCACTTTTTGGCATAAATGGGGCCACTTGCCTGTGGTTAGGTTGCCTCTGAAAACCTTATTAAAAAGTTACAAGTATTTAATGGTATCTTCAGCAAAGGTGGGACACGAAAAAAGAAAACACCAAAGGGAAAATCCAATCATAAGATATTTGGCTGGAGCTCGTGAGTTGGAGGGAGGCTTGAAAGTTAAGATTGGAAGTAGCGTTGTTACTGAATGATATGGAGGCCGAAAATAGCAGTGGAGGCAAACTAAATAGTAACATTGAGCCCACCTATTAGTGTCTGATTGGTGACTCCTAAGTGATATGTCACTCACTGCTCCACCTTGAAAATTGAGCTAGACACGTATTACATAAAATTGGCACGATATGAAATTACATGAAACGTGTTGCATATAATGTTTGTTTTACCTCAATGCTGTCAGCAGTATGAGCGCCAGAATAACAACTGATATTGAAATACATAATAGCACTAGCTCCATGTTGCTTTGAATTTTCCTGTGCCTGAGAGATTCCTTTGACCCGTCTTGATTGTAAACGAAAACTCCCGTTCCCTTGAAAACAAAAGCAACAAGCAAATAACAAAAAAACAAAAACAACAAAAAACAACAAAAAATAGAAGAGTAGAACTTAATCCGACAGAAGCACTAAGACCATTGAAACAATGTAAAATTTAGTAAGACAGAAGGTACCAACGAATGGAGTTGTGAAACTGTTAGGCGCAGCAAGGTAACAAAACACCTCAAGCAGACAAAGAAATAACTGAAATTTTTTTACTTTGGGTGTTTTTATCCACCTCCTCCTCTTTTACGTGTTAGAAAATGCTATGAGAACACTTGTCGCGGACGGCTGATTCCACACCTTAATTGAGCTATGACAATCTTTCACAAGTATCTGAGTTGTTGATGAAAGTAACACCAAGAAAATACTGCAGGAAATAGAATGGGAAATTGCTAGTTTTAAAACGTTGATTATTGAAATGTAAATTATTTTTCTTGCGCCGTATTTCTGTCAACGGTTCAGGCTAGTTCTCTGTTTCTGTCGACTTTGTAGAAGCGAGGCTTTAAGCGGGCGCTTTTTTACGGGTAAAATGTATTTGGCTAAAACTGCAGTTCATATCTCTTCTGCTAGTTATTTAAGTATTTTAAACATGTTGATTCGTGTTTGCAATTCGCTTTACCTCGTCAAACTCTACACTTCTGCAGTTAAACGCTTTCAGGGCGTCCTTTATTTGCTGATTGGTAAGCTCCTTGGTCTTGAATGGATGGTTGCATATGTCAAAAAGTACGGAAATGGTAAGAAAAATTAATAGAGGTCTTCTTGTTGTCTACTTTTAACATTATAACAACAAATGGACTGGTAAAATCATTAAACCACAAAATCTGCCACGAATGATACAAACGATAGTAAGGGTTCAAACTTGGTGGAGCTGAATCTAGAATAACATTTCCACCTATTAAAACAAATCACAAACAATGGGAAAGCGGATGAAACTCCCGTCCACTTTGTAATTTCAAGCTCAGTCTAAGGGATCAAGAATTTCCGTACTACTTGGAACTAGTCCAGCTGACTCAAAATTGTAACTCGAGAACTTTATCGGTGGATGGACAACAGTTACACTCCAAGGGTCTGGAAACCAGTAGAAAGTTAACCCGGGTAGACTGGTTAACCCCAGCTGGAGTGTTTACAAGGGAAGAGGTTAGCACGCCTGCCAGGGTATGCTAGCACGTAGATAAAGTAACCCGCCTACCCGGGTAACCCTGGCTGCCTTGTAAAAACACGACGAAGAAAAAAAGAAGTAATGTGTGAGTTCTAGGGTAACCCTCTCTCCTTGTAAACAGGCCCTTAGACATGCATGACATGCACCTGACATACCAAGCTTTTAGTTGTTGTTATGCTCTTGTTTATGCTTGTCTCATTTCCTGAAGTCATGTTATTGCTTCTGTTGTTATTGCTTCTGTTGGTATATTTAATCACCTCTGGTAGAATACGTGGAGACGTATTTAACTTAACAATCAGTTTTTCCCTTGCTATAGTGAATGTTGGGGGAATTCGTTTGAAGTTTCGCGGTGGCCTGGATCTGACACTTAAAGAAATTAATAGGGTTAGTTGCTGTTGGT